CTGAGGTGACCTGCTGGTGCAAATTTCCCAGCTGCCTCCTCCCTGTTCTTTTTTTTTTTTTTTTTTTAAACAGAGTCTCACTCTGTCACCCAGGCTACAGTGCAGTGGCATAATCTTGGCTCACTGCAATCTCTGCCTCCCAGGTTCAAGCGATTCTCCTGCCTCAACCTCCTGAGTAGCTGGAATTACAGGCGCCTACCACCACACCTGGCTAATTTTTGTATTTTTAGTAGAGATGGGGTTTCACCATTTTGGCCAGGCTGGTCTTGAACTCCTGACCTCAAGTGATCCACCCACCTCGGCCTCCCAAAGAGCTGGGATTACAGGCGTGAGCCACTGCACCCAGCCCTCCCTGTCCTTTTAACTCCTCAGCTCTCCCATGCCTGCTGTAAATTATTCTTTGTATTAGATTCTTTCAGATTAAAACACCTAGAGTGGCTTCTATTCCCTGGCTGGACTCTGACACATTCCCTGCCTACAGCAGAAGTTCCTAATGGACAGAGACTCTCTCTCCGTTTTTAGAATTCCACAGGAGGGACATAGTGGTTACTCAAGAATTATCTGTTTGATTTCCTGGTCTCAGATCCCATTGGTGGTTCTCATCGGCTCTCCTGTGTGGGGTCTGCAAAGAGAAGCTATGAGGGAAAGAGGAAGGAGTTCTTAATTCTCCTTCCAGGGGCTTTGCTTGGGTTGTGGAGTAGTTTCCTTTCATTCATTCATTCATTCCTTCAATCAACAAACATGTATTGAGTGTCTAGTAAATGCTGGGGATATAGAATGAGCCTTTCCTTGTGGAGCTCACCTATTACTAGGGAACTTTGGTGCACCGAAAAGGCATTGGGGAGATGAGGCTGGTCCACTTTTCCCAGAGTCACTGACTGGAGAGGATCTGCTTAGGAAACAGAGACTTTTTGGGTAAAAACAACAATAGTAGTATCATTTTGGAGGCAGATTCTGTGCTGACACACCTATCCATTCACTCCAATAAGCATTTCTTGAGTACCTAGTATGTGCTAGTTGATGGGGTTTACAGTAGTGAATGAGACAAATAGGTCAACGTCTTCACGCCTCATACAGTCTAGTTGAGGTGACAGATATTAAGCAAATAATGAGATAAATCTATAATAAAAATCAGAACACATACACTGAAAGAGAAGTAAATATCCTATGAGAGTTGATAGTAGGAGAACATGACCTAGCTTGGGTTTTCAATGGTCAGGTCAAGTCTCCCCAAGGAAGTAAGACCCAAGAAACGCCTGTCCTATTTTCTTACTGCTCTCTGAGTTCTCGTCACCAACATTCTCAGATTTTAACAGACCAGATTGCCTGAAGATAATGAACTTGGAAAGGTTAGCATTTCCTCCAGAGTCTGTCAATTCAACTGACCTCCTATAGAATAACATTCCTGGTGGAGCACAACACTGCGTTTGTGGTAGCTATGATTGTCCGCAAACATTGCAGTTCCCTTTACAGGTGGGTGTTAAGATTGTAGTTTCCTGCTCCTTTGGGGTTAGATGTGGCCATGTGCCTGGCTTTAGCAGATGAAAAACAAACAGAAGCGATGTGGGTGTGTAACTTCCAGGTGAAAACCTTGAAATGTCAGTGTTATTCTTAAGGCTTCCACCCCTTTTTCTGCCTCATCAGTTTTAGAAGCGTGTGTTGAGGGTGCTTCCAGGGAGAGAGATGATGGCTTTACCACTATGACAAAGGGTGCCTGATGCCCAAGACATAAAGGATTATTGCTAGGAGGGCCATGCTCACATTGGGATATGTTCTGACAACCCCCAAAGTTAACAGGTACCACTATACCCCTTGTTTTAAAAGTTGCCTTTTTAAAGCTCTTTGAGGGCAGACATGGTGGTTCACGCCTCTAATCCCAGCACTTTGGGAGGCCAAGGCGGGTGGATCACTTGAGGTCAGGAGTTGGAGACCAGCCTGGCCAACACAGTGAAACCCCATCTCTACTAAAAATACAAAAATTAGCCAGGCATGGTGGCAGGCACCTGGAATCCCAACTATTCGTGAGGCTGAAGCAGGAGAATCGCTTGAATCCAGGACGCAGAGGTTGCAGTGAGCTGAGCCTGGGTCACTACACTCAAATCTGGGAGACAGAGCAAGACTCCACCTCAAAAAAATAAAATAAGTAAAGCTCTTTGAGTTATGTGACCTATCTGCTCTGCAAATGAGCGAGCCATTATGTCAGCTTTGCAATTCTGTTTCAGGAGAGAGTTCAGAAGTGGAAAAATACATCTCTTTCTGATTTGAAGCAGACTGAAATTGGGTGGGTTCACTTATAATCATCTACCCAGTAGGAGAGTCTTCCATTCACAACACAGACATTAGCCTTAGCACAAGGATCATTGCGGAGATTTACACATGCTGTCTATGCATTTAGGAAACAGCTGATATTTGCATGGGGTGTGCTCAGAAATGATGCAGTGAAACATATAGAAGTTGATCATTCATGTGTGTAATTCTCAAACTTCCCCTTTTCTGAAATTCATTGCACTTGCCGCTCTTATTAAAGTCCTTTTATCAACTAAAAGCTCAGCAAAGGCAGGCTTCAGAAGGGAAGCTGAGTCTCCATAGCCTCCTACAACCAGTACTTACCTGACCTATAATAAAAGTAACCAGTACTATCAAGCATTTACAGTGCTAGCCAGACACTCTTCTAGTTATCTCATTTAAACCTCACAGCTTAGCCTCTGAGGAATGCAGTATTATCCCCGACTGAAGATGAAGAGCAGAGGCCATTACTTTTGATTGCAAAACCATAATTTTGTGCCAACTTAATAGTTAAGTAGTAGAGACAGGCTTCAATCCAAGTGGTGTTTCTTGGTACAATCATACACGGTAGATGCTCAGAAAACACCAACATGTATGAGTTCGGAACTCAATATGTGGTGAGGCTAGTTTGTATTATGGTGTTGGATTAGTTGTTGTGCTTACTCTTTGGTTTCTAAAATGCTGAAAGGCAAAGTATTATATTAGTACTCTGATTGACAGGAAGGATTCAAAATAGTGGGTGAAAATAACTTTGTTGTCTTTTAAAATAATTTTGTGGCTCTGATAAAAATAATATCTGTTTATTATAAAATGTTCAGAAGTTAAAAAAAAAGAAAAAGAAGAAAACATCAGAATAAAACTAGAATAAACAAAATTCAATTAGCCGGGCATGGTGGCATGCACCTATAGTCCCAGCTACTCGGGAGGCTGAAGCAAGAGGATCCCTTGAGCTCAGGAGTTGGAGGCTACAGTGAGCACTCCTGCCACTGCACTCCAGCCTGGACAACAGAGTGAGACCCCATTTATTAAAAATCACGAGAAATCCAACAAACTAATTATAGCTATTGTTTCTATCCTTTCAGGCAAATTGACACACTTATACACATATTTAGCTCTACATAAGGTGTGGTACATAAACAGGATCATAGTACATGTACTCTTTCAAACCTATTTTTAAAAGCATTTCTTCATGCACCAGTATGTTGTAGAAATACAGATCACCATGATTATTCTTTGCAACTGCTTTAGATTGTTTCTCAAAGTCCTATGTGACAACATGACCAAGGGCTTCCTTTGTATTTTAAAAAAATGTATAAAGATCACCTTGGATAATATCAGAAGACATGATTTCTGGGAAGTCACAAGGAATACCCATTGACATTTTGATATATATCAGTAAACTACCCTCCCCAAATGTATGCCCTGTCGTGACATACATTCATCATCACTGGTTTGATAAAGCTTTGCCAATCTGGTAGGCAAAATAATCCTAGTAATTTAATTTTTAATATATTTTTAAACTTTAGTGTATGTTTATTATCTAGTAGCGTTTCTTAGAGGATAACATATATTACTGGTAGTTTTGAATAGTTACTGTATTAGTCTGTTCTCACTCTGCCAATAAAGACATAACTGAGACTGGGTAATTTACAAAGGAAAGAGGTTTAATGGACTCACAGTTTCGTATGGCTAGGGAGGCTTCACAATCATGGTGGATGGCACATGAGGAGCAAACTCACGTCTTACATGGCAGCAGGCAGGAAGACTTGTACCGGGGAACTCCCCTTTATAAAACCGTCAGATCTCGTGAGACTTATTTGCTTACCACGAGAACAGTATGGGAGAAACTGCCCCCATGATTCAATTATCTCCACCTGGCCCTGCCCTTGACATGTGGGGATTATTACAATTCAAGGTGAGAGTTGGGTGGAGACACAGCTGAATCATATCAGTTATTTAGGTACAACAAGTTTCCTCCCAGCATCACTTACACCAGTTAGTAAGCAGGAAGAACCAAAGGGGGAATCTGAACACCAATGAAAGTATAAACATACAACGGAAGAATATCTTGTACACACACACACACACACACACACAGAGAGAGAGAGAATATTTTGGATGAATATTTGATGGCATGGGGAAATTATTGTACTATAAAGTTTGAGAAAATTTTTGAGGAAAAATCACAATGTGAAATAATTTGCAGATAATCCCAACTGTGTTAAAATATATGTGTTTAAACAAAAAGGATGGGCAAAAAATTAAAAAGGCTAGAAGGAAATACTGCAAGAAGTTGTTAATATTGGTTACCTTCATGGGATGGGATTTCGGGTGACTTAAAGATTCTTAATTTTTTGTGCTTGCAGACACTGAATTTTCAAATAGTATGGGGCTAATATTTACCATTTGATTGACTTGTGTATTGTTATCAGTGTGTGGGGTCACTCACTTGCAGTTGCTTAACAGTATCATGAATGATTTACTTTCGTCAACCAAATGGACGTGTGCTTTGGTTTATTCATAATTCTAAGGATCACATTCATTCGTACTAGCACTATGTTGTGGGCAAGATCCCTGCATTTAAGAACTGTGCCATCTGAAAGGGGAGAGAAGACATTTATAGCATAAGAAGAGGAAAGAGCATGTCTGCTGAGAAATGGCAAAGTCTCCTAGAGGAGGTGGCATTTCAGCCCAGCCTTGAAAGATAAGTTGAATTTTTAATGAAACATTTGTTTTATTTTTCTTCTGACTCTATAAGAAATAAGTGCTTATTACAGAAAACAGAAAAATGTGGGAGCTATTAACAGACGTTTATAGGGTTATTATCAAGGTGGAACACTGTGCCAAATCCTACAGAGTATATTTTAAAAATCTCATTTAATCCCCCTTCCCCGCTTCCAGAAACTCTATAAAGTGAATGCGATTACTTTGTTCATTTCAAAGGCAAGGAGATAGATGTGCAAAGGGATTGAATGAGCAACTTCAGGATACGTGATTGGAAAAGCAGCAGAGATAGTACTGGAACCCAAGTCAACCTGGTGCTGTAGAAGAAAGAGTCAACATACAGCCCATTGCTTTCAGTCTCTTTTTTCCTCTCCATGAGGCTTTTCCCTCATGGAGAAAACGAGGATTCTCTTGCTCCCTGCATTCTACTGAGTGTTCATCACTTTAGATAGATGATGGTAACTGAAGGCATGGGGTAGGTGAGATCACCAGGGAAACATGCAGAGAAGAGAGAAAGGCCTTGGGAACAAGCCCTAAGCTCAGAAATGGGACACCTTCCCATATCAGGGCTGGAGGAGAGGAGGCAGCATCAGGGAAAACACAGTGGAGCTAAGCTTGGATCTGAACATTACTGGTTGAGAAGAAAGGATGGAGAAGTGGAGGTGGGAGAAGAGTGCCACAAGCAAAGGGAATATTATTTGCAAAGACATAGCAGATGCAAGAGACAACATGTTACCTTGGAAAATCAGCAAGCGATTTCAGGATGGCTACAGCATAGGATGCATGCATATATGAGTATGCCTGCCTATGAGTGCATGCATGTTTCTGTGTATCTGTGTGAAGGTGTGTGAATGTATCTGTGTATATCATGTGTCTATATGACATACATTAATCATCACTGGTTTTATAAACCTTTGCCAATCTGGTAGGCAAAATAATCCTAGTAATTTAATTTCTGTTTTTTTAATATATTTTTAATCTTTAGTATATGTTTATTATCTAGTAGCATTTCTTAGAGGATAACATATATTACTGGTAGTTTTGAATAGTTACTGTATTAGTCTGTTCATGTGTCCACATGAGTGTGAGTGTGTGTACAGAAGGCTAGGGTGGTGAGACCCTAGAGAGGAAGTACAAATATCTCTTCAAGAGAGAGATTTTATTTCATTTAGAAATATACTCAGAAGTGGCATTACTGGATCATATGGTAGTTCCATTTTTTATTCTTTTTCTTTGGGTGAGGGGAACTTCCATACTGCTTTCTGCAATGTCTGTACCAATTTACATTCTTACCATCCATCAATGTACAAGGGTTCCCTTTTCTCCACATCCTTGCCATCCATCCCTTATAAAAGATTTATGATATTATGGAAAGAGTCTGGAAACACCGTGAGATCTGGAAACAGATCCCTGAAATCCAGTTAATCAGTAGAAACTTTAGCTGGAAGGTAATGGAGAACCTTTGAATTTCTTTTCTGATAATTACAAAAAATGATAAAATGAAAACCAGGCTTTCAGAAGATTCTTGGACTGGATGGTTTGAAGAAGGTAGGGGCAGGAGAATAGGAGACCAGTTGGTAGGATACTATAATAGTGAAAGTGGGAGGTGATCAGTGTGTATATTAGGATGGCAGCTATAGGGCGATAGCGGATTTGAGGCTCACCGGTATGAGAAACATGAGACAATTCATGAGGTTACCTGAGAAAGTCTATTGACTCTCCCACCTCCTCCCAGCTTTACTGAGGTATGATTGAAAAATAAAAATTATCTATATTTAGGTAGACAATGTGATGTTCTGACATACATGTACATTGTGAATGATGACCACAATCAAGCTAATTAACAGATCCTTCACCTCATATAGTTACCTTCTGTGTATGATGAGAGCACATGAGATCTACTCTTTTAACAAATTTCAAGTATATAATACGTTATTATTAACTATATCAGCAAGCGATATAGTTTGCTGATATATGCTATACATTAGTTATCCAGAACATATTTCTCTTACAACTGAAAGTTTGTGGCCTTTGACCAATATTGTCCCCTTTTTGCCCACTCTCCAGCCCCTGGTAGCCACCATTCTACTTTCTGTTGTAAGTTAAACTTTTTTTTTTCTTTTTTCTTTTTTTTTTTTTTAGGAGTCCACATATAAATGAGATCATGCTGTACTTGTCTTTCTGTGTCTGGTTTATTTCACTTAGGATATTCTCCAAGTTCATGATGTTATTGCAAATGACAGGATTTCCTTCTTTTTTAGAGCTGAATAATATTCCATTGCAGATATATACACACCATATTTTCTTTACCCATTTATCTGTGGATGGACACTTAGGTATGTTTCCACATCTTGGCTATTGTGAATAAACTGCAATGAACATGGAAGTGCATTTCTCCCTTCAAGAAAGAGATGTTCTTTTCCTTTTCTTTTTCTTTCCTTTTTTTGAGACGGAGTCTCACTCTGTCACCCGGGCAGAGGTGCAGTGGCGCAATCTTGGCTCACTGCAACCTCCGCCTCCTGGGTTCAAGCAATTCTTGTGCCTCAGCCTTCCGAGTAGCTGGGATTACAGGTGTGCACCACCATGCCCAGCTAATTTTTGTATTTTTAGTAGAGACGGGGTTTCACCATATTGGCCAGGCTGGTCTCCAACTCCTGACCTCAAGTGATCCGCCTGTCTTGGCCTCCCAAAGTGCTGGCATTACAGGTGTGAGCCACCGCTCTCAGCAGAGATTTTATTTTCTTTGGGTGTATACTGAGAAGTGGGATTGCTGAATCACATGGTAGTTCTATTTTTATTTTTGGGAACCTCCATGCTGTTTTCCACAATGGCTGTACTCATTTACACCCCACCACCAGTGTACAAAGGTTCCTTTTTTCCCACATCTGTGCCAACATTTGTTGTCTTTTGACTTTTTAATAATAGCCATCCTTACAGGTCTGAAGTGATATCTCACTGTGGTTTTGATTTTTCATCTCCCTAATGATTAGTGATGTTGAGCATATTTGCATATACCTGTTGGCCATTGTCGAACATTCAAAGTAACAGTTTAAAAGCATATCCTTAGGTCCTTCATCAATTTACAACAAGTATTTACTGAGCACCTCTACTGTGCCAGGACTCTGCATGGGAAGCCCTGGCCCAGCGTGGAATCCAGACAAGTAACCAGACTTTTGCAACCTAGTGTTGCAAGGGCACAGAAATCAGCAACCACAGAAGGGGACGGAGGCAGTGGAAGCACCGAAGCCAGTCCTGAAAGATCTGGGCTGGCTTCCTATAGGATGGGATTCGAAGCTGAGAGACACAGTGTGCGGAGCTAGGAATCCCTGTATGTGTAAGATATGGCTTCTGCCCGGGTGGGTGGGGACAGAGAAGTAGACGACACGATGCTATTTGACACAGGAATGCAGCTAAGTCATGCATATATATATTTTATCTTTAGTCAGAAAAGAAGATTCTTCTTTGAGCAAACTCATTCCTTTTAAAAAGGCCGAGCTATTTGGAACGATGCCCACCAGGATGGCAAAGTGGTGCGTGAGCCCTCCCTGCAGCACACGCCCAGGACTTTGAAGCGGGGAGCAGGGTCCTCCTGGCTGCTGAAAGGAATCGAGTTAATGAGCCCTACTGGCAGGTGGCGAATGGCCGGAGATCCGGCCTCCCAGTGGAGTCCACCGCCCCGGGCTTCCGCTCGCCAGGCTTATTTCTCTCCATGCTGGAGCAAACCCGGGCTGAAAAAGGGACCCACTAATTGGTTTGCGTACCCGAAGTGGGAATAGAGAGGGAGGAAAACCGTGTTTCAGGCGTTACAGTGGGGAAAAAAGTGAAATCCCAAACGCAGGGGAGACAGCGACTGTCAGGCAGACACCTTGTGAACCGCGGTGGAGAGCACACCTAGGTGGGGAGGTCACCGGTCCAATCCACCACCCTCCGGGAGACTGAGGGCAGGGACAGCAGCAGGGGGCGGCATCCACGTCTCTACGCTTGCAAGGGTTCCCCAAGTTCCTGGCCACTGCTCCCCACTTCCTGCAGCCTCGGTCTCCTCCGGGGGCGTGTGTGAGGGGCGGGGCCGCATGGAGAGGAGGGATTTAAAAAAAAAAGCGAGGTAATTAGCATTCTCCGATTCCACTGGCTCTCCGCCGGCCCTGCTTTGCATACGCCCGTCCCACTAGCTGCCCGGGGTTTGCTGGGGTTCGGCAAGGTTTGCAGCCGCCACGGCCGCTGCTGCGCTACGGTGCAGGGCAGGCTG